ATAAAGATATATTCCGTACAATCACAACAAGTCTGACAATGAAATCTTACCAGAAACATTACACGATGTGCACATTTTGACTACCCTTCAAGGCAAACTGTCACAGGAATATTTGGATTTTAAATATTTGTGCACAGTCCATAAATTTGCCAAGTCCTTAGAAAGCCCGAGGATTAGCTTTTGTGATATTATAGAAAAAAGAACCATATACAACTTTTTAAAGTATTTTACATAAAGTTTGTAAAAATCTTATACTTCATTGCAGAAACTCATTTTCACACACAAGACATTTTAATTATTACCAGAAATATAAAGGGGATAGGTGAGGAACAGGGAAGGATTCAGAGCAAATATGTGCCTCCATTATACAGATTCAGCTCGATCACTTGTAGTGATCATAAATCACCTAGGCGGAGGTGGACTGTGGTGAGTCGAGTGACCAGACGACGCGACGAACGGATGGAGAAGACACTGACACAAACACTTAGACGAGCAGTAGCATCGGAGCACGTCGACGTCGAGAAGAGCAGCAGCAGCCCTAAATCGTATAATTCATATTTCAGATTTTGGGAATTTGGGTAAATAGGTTGTGATATTGGATTTGGATATATGAGTTGGGTTGAAATTTTAGGGTAAATGGATTGTGGATTGTTGGATATTTAATTTTGGGCCGGCTCATATTGTTAATAAAAAAAAAATTAGGGCCAAAAATAGGCCCCTTAATGGTCTTGGGCCTAAGGCGCGAGCCTCACTGGCCTCGCCCCAGGACTGGGCCTGCTTATATGAGGGACTCTTGTATACTTTCTTATAAGTAGAGTAATACCAAAAAGTTGGGAAAAAAAATTGGGATTGCCGCTACAATTATTATTTATTTTATTTAGAAAAAGGTAACGTGCGAAACAAAAAGAAGTTATTTTTCAAATAATGAGCTTGTTTGAGCCACATTATTCCAAAAAAATACGTTTTTAAACTGTGATTTGATATTATTTCAATCACACATTTTTTAATAAAATAATATTAAACTCAGATAAATTTTTTTTCTTATTTTTAATCATATATTTTGTATCAATACATTATTCAAAAATACATTATTATCAAAATAATGTGGCTCAGCCACCGCCACCTCTCCCTCGCCCAATAAAAAGCTTAGCCAAATATGGGCGAATCATAGTGTTATTGGGTGGGAAGTGAGGGCAGTGAGACGGCTGCAATTGAAGAACCCGAAAACGAAAACAAACAAAGCTGACGGTGACACACTTTCTGTTACTCCGTAAATCTTCTCAGCAAAATTTCAAGTTTAATTTTCAATTGGGTTCTGTAATTCAGAATTTAACATAAAAAAAAAAAAGAAAAAAAAAAGTAGAAATCAATCCAATATTTAGCGGATAATCATGTACAGATTAAAATCTTGCACGCAGTTGAAAAATAAGGGCGCCCGGTATGCTCTTTTTAATTGGCTCATCTCTTTTAATCGATCAAGGTACCAATTTTATGCCCCTTTTCTTTCTTATATTAATTGTCTCTGTATTCTATATTTATGCTTTTAAATGATAATAAAAAGTGGAATTTTTTTAGGTTCTTCTCAATTTGAAGAAATGGGTTTGTTTCATAATCAAAGATTTAATTTTGAGATACTACGAATTGAGGAACTTTAGGGAGAATTTAAAGAAAATTCTTGTTCACTTGAGTATAGAGTTCTATCCAATACTGTGTACAAAACGTGGAGTAACGGGTTTATGTGAATTCTGATTCTTGGGAATGTCATCAACCTCGTTTTTGGACTGTCACAAGCCGGGACTCTTGTAGTGGAATTTGGATAGTTATTCGAAAGATTTTATTGTCCCTTGCAGGCTTGCGCGAAAAAGGAAAATGGCAGGTGGATACTGGATATCACGACACTTTTTTAAGTTTACAGATGTTTGTTATAAAGAGTTTTATTTGTATTCAACTTAAGTGATGATTTGAAGCCCTGTTTGGTTCTGATTTTTCACCCCCAAAAAATCAATTTTTAAACCGTAATTTCACTATTTCAGTCGTCATTTTTGATTTCTTTACTCACATGTAAGACCCACATTTCTTTTTAATGATCAAAAAATCAATTCTCATAATCACTATCGAACGAGCCTGAAATAAACGAAATAAATGCAAATATTTGATTTTTCTCTATTTCAGCTTAAAACGTATTGATTTCTCTGTGTGGTGACGTATGCTTCATTTGATCGAATATGTATAACTAGTGTATGAATAGTGCTGCTAGAGAGGGATGAAAAAAGGGAGAGGAGGACTAAAGTTAACGTAGTGTAATGTGGTTGCAAAGAATATGGTTGTTCTAGATCTTTTTGCGGATGTGGCGATTGTTCAACTGGATCGGGGCTTGAGGATTAATGTAGTTGTCCTCAAATATTTGGGGGAATTAGGCTGTCGTTGGTGTGTTGTTCACATCATGCTACACTTTGCAGTACTGTCACTCTCTTTTTTTCCCCTATTTACGTTGCTAATTGTAACTGTAAATGACTTCTTATATCTTATATACAATGCAGATCTGTCCATTCCCTACCGTTTGCCACAGTGAAAACTGAGGAACTATCAGGTTCTCAACCAACTGAAGTACAAAATTTGGGTATGAGATACAATTGTAGCAGCTAGTCTCATTTATTTACAAAAATGACTCAGTTACTAACACAAGGAAATTATGTGCTATTATTGTCTACTATGTACGAGTTACATGTAGTTTCTATTGAGAAATGAGCTAAATAATTCTATGAGTTATGTGTTGCTAACATTTTTACGTGATGAAGTGATGTGGACTGCTAGATTTGAGCAAGTATTTTGCATTATGTGTGACACTCGAACAATCGATGGTGTGAATGAAACGGTTGTTATCTGTTACAGTGCAGGGAAAATGGACGAGTTCTTCTAATTGGAATATAATTGTGGATCCTTTAAATGGGGAACCATTCATCAAAGTGGCAGAAGTAGATGAAACAGGGTTACAGGTAAGCCACATGAGCACATCATAAAGTGATTGCTCTGAATTTCGTTAAAACCAACCTTTTTTATCGAGCTTGTAGATATATAGTGCTTGTTTGGTATTACTTTTAAGTGCTTATTAGCAGTGGATCCTATGAAATATGTGAATAATAAATGGGTAAAAGTAGCTAAATGTTGTGGGTTTTAAGAAATTTGTGGATAAAAATAGAGTTTGATCAACTTATAAGCAATTGTAAGCTTTACCAGACATGTAATAATTGATCAATTGTGGCCTCCAAACAATTGGAGACTCATGTTTATGTTCCCCTTTTTACCAAAATTTCTCAATTATAGAAGTTTCTTTATTGGAAAAGTCTTTTACGGTTCATACCTTGTGCAGCCATTTGTAGAGAGCTTGTCGAAGTGCCCTAAACATGGTTTACATAATCCATTCAAAGCACCAGAGAGGTTCGTCTAGCTTTATTTATTTTTCTGTGACACAATACTTATTTTTTTACACAATACTTATTTTTTTCTTTCTTCAAATTAAATCTATGAATTATTATACTACTATATCTTTTCTTAATAACTCTAGTTAAGGAACCATGATCTCCTACCTATATTATTACTATAATGTTTTTATTTTTATTTTTGCTGTTATATTCCTGAAAATTGATATAACTTCTGGAAGATCAATGTTTCTCAGGTACCTCATGTTTGGAGACATATCAGCTAAGGCGGCTTACCAGCTTTCTCTGCCTGAGGTGAAATACTTAAATACCCTGGATAATTAAACACTGAAAAAATAAATAAATCAATGTCAAACTCTCACTTCATTTAGTTACATTTCTAGGTTTCTGATTTTTTTTCAAAGTTGATACAAAGAGTGGCTCCAAAGAGTTACCAGCAGGCTCTTGGAGAAGTTTATGTCACTCAGAAATTTCTCGAAAATTTCTGTGGTGATCAGGTACGTGAAATTTGGCCTGTTTTATGCTTGGTTTTAATTCAACCTACAGATAGCAGTACAGTCTCATTAACTACAACGTCTGCAATTTAATTGCTTCTTACTAAAGTTTGTTACTGGTTTTGTTTATTAAGAGACTTAAATAACTGACCACATATGATCACTCCTCTGTTTCATTTTCCTTGTCTGCTCTCATTTGATCTTTTCATTTAATAATGCTACAGCTTCTACAAGATCAGACATACTCTCATCTCAAATGGGTTTAGCTAGGAAGTCTCTTTTGATTTATATTCGTAAATAGTCCTATCCCATTTTAGATTTCAAATATTTCATTGTCTTGACTTTGAATTCCTCTGGCAGGTTCGATTTCTGGCCAGGTCGTTTGCAGTACCTGGTAATCATTTGGGACAGCAGAGCCATGGTTTTCGCTGGCCTTATGGCCCTGTAAGTCATTATTGATAAAACTCCGCTTAGAATTAATCGATATATTTGAAAAATACTGGTGGTCGTGTGCAATGGGTAAGTAGCTCCTATCGGTAAAAATGGAGAGCTTCACCAAGAATGACTATACTCACATCTTCTCTCATGAGTCATGTTCATGGTGATGGACTGTTGTCCTTTTCCTTAAGATCTCATTTAAATAATGCAATATTGTGGTATAATATACATTTATGCCCTGAAGCTTTAGAGACCTAATCTGGAATATTACCATTATGCCTGAAACAGTATTAATGAAATGCTCATGGTGGGAGTCACGTGCAAAGAATATGTTAACTGTTCTGTTAATAAATATTAACTGCAGTCAGATTTCATTTTTCATGTATCCTGCGGCATTATGTAATAATAATTTTGGACTTCTTGCAGCTCTCTGCTTGCTTAGTTACGTTTCTAATATGCTGCAGTAATTGTCTATTTAACGATAATGTTTGATGCGAGTCCATTGAAATTTTTTTTGGTGCAGGTGGCAATAATTACTCCTTTCAATTTTCCTTTGGAGATTCCCTTGCTTCAGCTGATGGGTGCACTTTATATGGGGAACAAGCCAGTTGTTAAAGTTGATAGCAAGGTAAGCTCTCACAGTTCTTTAGAAGGTTGTGATTGGTAATCAAGCGTTATTTTTTTAAGCAAAGAGATGACTTCTTTAGCATTAGCGATTTTATTATTTTCTGCTGATATGGGAAGTTCTGCTTTCTTTTTAAGATGTCCTCTTTCATTCATTGTGTACTCTTTTTAAGAAACAAGATGCTGTTCCTCTTTCAATAGGCTTTGATATTTCTTAGGGTCAACTATTCATGTTTTTGTTTTCTTATGTTCCATAGGTCTGCATTGTTATGGAACAAATGATTCGGCTACTCCATGATTGTGGGTTGCCCATGGAGGATGTTGATTTCATAAATTCTGATGGAAATACCATGAACAAACTTCTTAAAGAGGTTGGATACTAGATAGTTAAGACAAGTTAATGTATATTACATGTATGATGTCTTCAATTCCTTTGTTCTTACATACATTGATGCTTCATTACTCTCACAAGCCTTCAGCATTATCACCTGAACCTCGTTTGGTTTGGATAAAAAGTAGAGTTAGATTTGAAGTTAGTGAAATGTGTGGTTGAAAAGTTGATAAAAGTTGTGGATTCCATAAAATGTGTGGTTGAATATGAGTTTTAAGAATGGGGACCAAAGTCACCAAACGGGGGCTGAAATATATTATGTTCTGATAAAAATAAAAAAATAAAAAAAATAAAAAATAAAAAA